CGCACATCCCCGCCCTGGGGAAGACGTGGGGGCTGCCTCTCAAGAGGAGGGAGTGTGGATCCCTTGGGGTGCCCTGCCCAGTTCTTCTCTTGCTCATTTGGGCTGGAAAAGGACATTCAGGTGGGGGTTGCCCTGGAAGTGGGAGTTGGTGTTGTCTACTTCTCCCCCTGCACTAAGCAGGCGATCCATAATGCTCGGGTGTCAGACCTGTTCCTTCCCAGGCAGTAAAGGCAGGTACCTGGAATGGAGAGGCAGTGCTGAAGGATTCTGGGCTGAGACCTGGGAGGGGGGAACATTCAGTCCCAGAGGCGCGGTTGCTAACCAACTTCCCAAGGCTTTCCTTCTTCCAGTGAGTCAAATGAGACTCCTCGGCTTCACTGCACTCCCTAAGGCACTCAGCCCACTGTGTGGCCTGAAGCACAAGCTGTGTCCTTGGGGTTAGCCTTTTCTCCTCCCTGAGCCTAATCTCCCAAAGGCACAGGTAGATAAAGGCCATGTCACCTCTGAAGGCCACCCTGCCCCCAACCAGCCTGCACTACCCAGTGTGCTTTGCATCCTGGATAAATATGTATTGCTGATGACGTTGTTTGAGGAAGGAGGTCGAAACTTTGCTTCCCTGGAGGACTTCTGGGATTAGAGCTGGGGGAGAAACAGGGTGACCTCATTCTCTCATTCATTCAACAAATATTTATTGAACACCTACTTTGTATCTGGGGACCTGCGTCGTCAGGAACTTTGCCATGTTCTTCTCCCCTGGCTTGCTTCCCCAGGCTTCTGTAAATAGGTGGAGACGTCTGCGGCCTTCCCCTGGAATCCCCCATTAGGGCTGGTTCCGTGCCCCTGGTGGTCTGGGCAGCCTTCCCCCCTCGGAGGGAGCACCATCATTATGGCCTGTGCCCTGCTCTCCCCCTGAAGCTCACAATGCCCCCTGAATACCTCGTGGCCGTCCATTCATAATCACAGCTACTCCTTAGTGGAACGCGCCAGGCTGTCTTCACAGCGCCTCACAAAGCAGAAGTGAATCCTTCTGTAAACATGAACCCGTAAATGGAGGCTCAGAGAATTCACCCACCACCCCCCCCCCCGCACCTCCCAGAGACAGAGACGGAGAGACAGAAAGTGAGAAGTCACTCCTTCCCCCAGGAAGGATGGCCACGCCACAAGCTCTTCTCCTCCATTCTCTTCCTGCGATCTTAAGCATGCATGCACTTGCCCCCAGTGTGAGTTTCAAGCCACTGGGTCCAGGACTCAAACTGAGGTCAGCCACATAGGAGTCCAGGGACATAGCTGCTATGCCATCTGCTGGCCCTATAACCTTTTCTTAGCCAGAGCTGGGTTCACATTCGGAATTTTGCTCAGCTCTTATGCTGTTGTGTTTGTAAAAGGTACTTCTATTTACATGATCCCATTAATGCCAAAAGTGGATCTGAGCCCTTCCTGACCCTGTCTGCAGGAACCTTCTGGGCCTGGGGTGGAGCTGGGATATTAGGGATTTCTGGGGTGCAGCAAAGATCTGTGCCTTTAAGCCTTTAAGTGGCCCAGGTGACCGATTGAGCTGGGCTGGTGACCCAGCCAGGGTGGGGCTGGAGTTGCCCCTGGAGGAGGGAGAAACTGTAACCCTGGGTAACAGGAAGGGAGGGTAAGGTCTCATACTCTAGCCCTGAGTCACAGCCACCCCGGCAGCCTGGGGCAAGGTGGCAAGGTGCCAGGCTGTAGGCTAGTGACCTGAAGCCCAGTACATCCCCCTACTCAGGGCTGGGCAGGGACAGGGGCTAGCCCAGGCCTAGGGCAAGTGATGAGGTTCCTTGCATGGCTACTATCCCCCAACCCAGCCTCCATTTCTGTGCAGTGGGTTTTCCGTAGAATGGGTTGTAGGCAGGCAAGGGAATAATGCCAAGGGTGATCCTCCTCTGGAGCCCGGGGTCTGGGCTGAAAGGCTTTTAACTGGCACCAGAGGTTTGTTCTGGGGCTGTCCAGTGTCCGTGGATAGGGAAACTGGACTTTGCAGGCAGTGGGAAGCACCGGGATCACATGCCTCTAGGTGCACTTTGCTCCCCTGAGTCCTGGATCCCAGGAATGCATTCTGAAACCTTTTTACCTGGAGCTTCTAACAGAGGAGGGCTCCTGCTCTGGGACAGGCTCCTGGGGACTCTGGGCCACCGTGGGAGTAAACTGTCCTTTTTGCCTGACAGTGCCTTTCACTAGGCCTCTCCAAGACAGGGACAAGGTTTCTTTTCTTTTCTTTTTTTTTTTTTAAAGAACTATTTATTGGAGCTGGCAGGTGGCACGGTGGTTAAGGGCGCTGGTTTCCCACATGGCCAACCATGGTTTGAGTCCTGGACCTGGCGGCTTACTTTCTCACTCTGGCCCTCTCTGGTCAAACTAGAATAAATGAACAAATGAATAAAGTTAAATAAAAAATAATCCTTAAAAATAAAAAGAACTATTTATTTTACTTATTCATTTTTTAAAAATTTGATCAGAGAGAGACACAGAGAAAGAGAGAGAAGGAAAGTGAAAAGGCAAGCCACCAAGTCCAGGACTCGAACCATGGCTAGCCATGTGGGACTGTCCAGTGCCTTAACACACACGCCACCTGCTGGCCCCAGGGACAGGATTTCTTTCATCATAGAGCCTTGGGGCCCAGTCCAGGCTTGGCCTACAGGGCTGTTGGATGACTGGCCATTTTCTGCCTCTCCTCCCCACAACTTTCCTATCCCAAAGAGGACACAGTGGCAGGAGTGGCTGGATTTTCTGAACCTCAGCGTCATCTTCCAGAGAGTGGAGGGGAGTGACACAGAACAACTCAGGTGCCAGGCACTGTGCGGGGCACGGAGCCTGCTTCCGTCATCACCCCTCCCGGCGGCACCTCTGGAGACAGTGGTTTTTGCTCCCCCTTACCAGCATCCTAACTGAGCAGGAGCAGGCACTTGGTCTACTCTTGCCACATTCTGCTCCTGAGCCCCAATGAGGGCATAGGGGACCCCTCTCCTATTGCAGCCTCTCGTGGGTCTAGCTGAGTGCAGGGAGGGGGTCTCTAGGAGTGATGTGATGGAGACAGGTGCCATCCCTCTGTATAGGAGCTCGCCTCCAAGTAGCAGCCCAGAGAGGCCTTGTGGAACCCCTGAGTTGAGTATTGGCCCTGTGCTCTGTCCCCTTTCTCCAACAGGCTGGGCTCCAGAATGGGGACTGACCGTGTGCTAGGGTAGGGGTGGCCGTCTCTCTGCCTTGGTCTCCCCAAGGCTATCAGGAGGCCGCCTTGGAGGTCCCCCACCCCGGGACAGTGTGTATTCCTGCGAATGTGTGTGTGAAAGTGGGTCATGGTCTGGATTCCAGAGAATGTTTTTCCTGGCAGGCCCCTGCGGGGTAGGGGGAGGCGGGGGCCCAAGCAGGGGCATGTGCTGCTAAGCAGGCAGAGGCCAGCAGACTGGGTGGTGACAAGGCCGGGGCACTCTGCCAATGCCTCCCAGTCACTGGGGGAGGGCTGGGGCTGTCACCTTGGGGGGCCTGTGGAGGCAGGGACCACCCTGTTGTAGTTTTCCAGTGGGCTGTGTGTACTGGGGTTCTGCACTGGAAGAGTCTGGAGTTGCCATGGGAGGTGCTGGGGTTCTGGGGTGGGGGGGCCAAGCTTAGTCCAGCCATCTTTTGGCTTCCAAACTTCCAGCTGACCTTCTTTCCAAAGAGAGCGTTCTCCGATCACTTTGTTTGATATTCTGTTAGATGTTACCTTTGGGTCTCCTTGATCAGGAAAGTACCCTATTGGAAGGCAATTGCCCTGGTAATTGAAGTGGGCCTTGATGGGGGAGGTTGAACTCCAGCTTTCCCCTTCCTTTCTGCTATTCCCACCTCCTAGGGTGTCACAAGCATCTTTTGGTTGAGGAAACACTTTTTGAAAGCATCACCTTGGGAAATTCCTTGACAGGTGGCCAGGAACCAGTCCTGTGGCTAGGCACCTTCAAACTGCTCTCCTGGCCCCTCCTTGGTCACGTACCACCTCCTCTGGGGACCAGAGGCATCTCCCTTGACAGCTGGAAAGAGAGGCAGGGATAGGCTAGCCAATTACCTAGGCAGCCTGGGGTTTGGGGTCCTGGCAGCTGGATCCCTGGTTGGTTGGTGCCAGGGGTGAATTTACATCTCATTTGCACGGATTTGCCTGAGCATCCACCTCCTCAGGGGTGGGGTATCCTCTCTCCTCTCTTGACCTTCTATTCTGTTCCCTCCATTGACCAGCTACCTTGGACTGTTCCTGGTGGCTCAGTTCCAGGTCCCTGTGGGGCGTTGCTGGAGTCTTACTTGTTCCTCATTCACACTGGGCTTGGGTTGGGCACTGTGAAGCTCCCCACCAAACCCCTCACCAGCTGCCAGGCCCCTGAGCTGCGGTGCCTACACCTAACATTGAGCACTCAGAGGTGCCCGGTGCTCTGCTGAGGGCTTCGCGGGTGCCTTCTCATTAATCCTCGGCAATCCCAAGAGGGATAGGTACTTACTACAGAGAGGTGCAGGGCCCTGCCCAAGGTCAAACAGCGAGTGGGGTGAGCTTCATTGTTCACTGTGGGGGGGCCTGGCTCCAGGGCTTTGAAGCACAGTCTCCTGTGTCTCTGTGGGGGGCTGGCTGCTGGGTGAGAGAAGGATGCAGGAAGGTAGACAGCCCGTGAGTGTGGTGCCTAGGGCCTGGGCCCACCCCCTCCTCTGGTTGGATATGTGTGGGGGTCCCCACAGGAAGTGGGAAACAGAGCTGGTGTTTGTAGGGCTGGTATATGTTTGTGTGTGTGTGTTTCTGTCTGTCTGTCGGCCCTGATGTGGAAGCTAGGAGTCTGTGTGTTCTGGATGCATGCATGTACATGCACATATGTGGGGGCTGGGTCCTCCTCTAGGCCTGGCTGAGGCTGGAGGAGCTGCCCCTTCCTGTTCAGCGGCTGCTTCTTAGCAACCCTAGTGCCGCTTTGCATAAGCAATGAGGCCTCTCTGGTTCTGGGAGAAGAGTGGTCAGGGGAGGTGAAGCTGACTTTCTTGGGGCTGCTGCCCCCTCTAAACTGGGCTCTTCCCTACTCCTCCTTCCCGCCTGCCCTTCTCCCGCTCTGCTCCAGGCAGCTCAGGTGGCTGACTGGTGGGAGGCGGGAAAGGGGAGGGGAGTGTCCTCAGTTGCCAGAGCCTGTGACCTGAGATGCTCCCGCTCCCAGGGCTGATCCCATGTTCTCCCCACAGCTGTGTGCTTAGGATCATCCTTGTCCTTGGGATGGAGTGCTCCTGAGCCCCCCTTCCTTATGTCCTGGGGTCTGACGAGTGTCCTCCTCTGTCTCTGTCCGCAGTTCTGGCATAAAGCATGCTTCCATTGTGAGACCTGCAAGATGACACTGAACATGAAGAACTACAAGGGCTATGAGAAGAAGCCCTATTGCAACGCGTGAGTCCTGTCCCGGACAGAGGCAGGGGCGGGATGGACACCTGGCTCCCTCCCCAAGTTCTTCCTCCACTTTCCATACCCACGAGATGTCCTTGTACTTGATACACTTTAATCACATCTTGTCCTCACAACAGCTGAATGAAGGGCTATTATTCCCATTTTACAGATGAGGAGACTGAGACTTGAGAAAGGGAGGGGACTTTTTCCAAACCCCATGACTGGTGAACATCTGTTAATCCTTCAAACCCAGTCTCTGGGTACTGAGACAAGCATGTTCTCTGCACTGCACCCTGTGGCAAGATACGTGACCTGCCCTGTTTCTGCCCAGTCGTGCCCGGGGTTGAGGACTCGATTTCCTTTCTCCTGCCTCATTGCTCTCCTCGGAATAGCAATTGACAGGCTTCTTTTCTCACCTGGGTACCTCCTAGGCCTTGGGGGTTAATTCCTCTAGTGGATCCTTCAGGAAGGCTTTTTGGAGCCCTAGCTCCTGCTCCCGGGTGTTCATTTCTCGAGAAGTTGGGGCAGGATGAGCTCTGTGGCCTGGCTCAGGACCGACCTCTCCCCGGCCCAGTGAGGGAAGCCATGGAGGCTACTTTGGAGTGTAATGAGCTTTTGCCCTGGGACCTGCAGCCTGGCCTGCTAGAGGTGGAGGATTAGAGTGGGGCAGAAGGGTGGTTTGTGGTAGAGGTCCCCCAGTCCCATGCAGCTCCAGGAAAGGCACCCCGGAAGTTAACCTTGTGAATAGCCAGTGCAAATCTAGCATCAGACCCTGCTGCCCAGCACAGGCAGGACCTCACAGCCACCCTGCTATGTGGGGGCTCCAGAAGGTTGAGTCGTTTGCAAGTAAGTGACAAGATCAGTATTCAGATAAACTTAGGATCTGACTTGAGTCCTGTTATCTATTTTTTTTTTTTAGAGGTTTTTGCTAGGGTGCATGTGCTCCCCAGAAAGACAGAAAAAGACAGCGAGATGGAAAGTGAGAAATTACCCCCCAGGGGGAATGGTCACACACAATCCCTTCTCCTCCATTCTCCTCTCAGGATCTTGGGCATGCACGCACATGTGCCCAGTGTGAATTTAAGCCACCGGCTCCAGGATTCGAACCGTGGTCGACTAACATGGGAGTTCAGCGACATAGCCATTACGCTAACTGCTAGTCCCACCCGTTATCTTTTTTGAAAGTTTTTTTGCTATTGGGCAAGTGCCCTCTCCAGAGACAGAGGGAAAGTGAGAAATCACCCCTGGGGGAGAATAGACATACCACAATCCCTTCTCCATTCTCCCCTTGGGATTGGGGCAGGCAAGCACACATGCGGCGTGATTTTCAAGCTGCCAGGTGCAGGACGCAACCGTAGAATTGGCCATGTGGGATCCATGCCTTGAACCTCCATGCTGCCTGCTACCTGCCATTTTTTTGTTTTTAATACTCAATCAGGAGGCTCTTTGCAGCCAAAGTTCACCCAGAAAAGGAAATCTAGGACTTGTCTAAAGGGGCGGGAGGCCTAAGCCCCTTTGTAGGGCTTGCTCCTCCTTACGGCACCCACACTCCGCACCCACACTCCGGCTGACGCCACTGTGCCATCTCTTTGGGGTTCCGTCATTCAGCAAACATTGTAGCCAGCCTGGGCAGGTGCTGGGAAAACAGATTTCTATTCCAGGGAGCAGTAGGCACCTTGTCCCGTCTAGAAGGACTGGGGCACTGGGCAGGCTGCCTGGGGTAGAGGAAGGGTCACAGCTCTGTCCTGGCTCCTCCTTCAGCTGCCCCTTGCCTTCTGTTCACTTCCACTGTTCCTCTCCCCCTTCTAACCCCTCTCACCCCCCCACCAAGGGAAATAGGACATTCTTCAAATTCTTAAGGGCTCACACAAGCCTGATTCTCTGCCACTTCCTCTCTCCATTGGGGACCGGGGTGGGGTTCAGAGAAGCCAAGGCAGTTAACCCCCTGGCTGCTGGACCACTGCAGGGCTAGATTCTAAGCCTCCTTGGGGGCTGGCCTCTGGAGGAGCCCCGGTGGTGGTGGCAGAGGCACGCTGGTTCCTGTGTCTTCCTCTAAGACTCTGCTAGCCTAGAATTCGGTGAGCAGTGGGAGTTGGAGAAAGAAATCAGACTTGGCCTTGTTTCCTCTGCATTTTTAACCTAGTGCCAACATCCCAGCTTCCTGTTCTCACTGTCTTTTGGGGAGACACCAGAAAGTGAGCGTGGGGGGGGGGGTCCCGTAGAAGCTGGGGGGGG